TAGAAATAAATCAATGTTTCAAAAAATTCTACAGAAACTCTTGTTGATCTAGTGATTTGCAACCATTGGTCTCGCATACAAATGCATATGTCTTGGATATACCATCGACATATAAATATTAGACAATGGGTTTCCATAGACTCCAATAACACATTTTTGAAGATAAATGGGAGGTGGCCACCACCGCCATTTTGACCGTGTCACAGGTTCCGTCAAGCCCAGACAATTCCACAAAAGGGAAGAGAGGTGGAGCTGAGGGTGGGGCTGTAAGGCTGGAATCAACTGACGACACCCGGTCCAACTAGCTACAAGCTAACCTGAAGCTAACCCAAAGCTAATGCGGAGGCGGGAGCTAAGCTAACGGAGGTAGCAACCTAGCTACAACCGGAGTTAACTGTGCACAACACCAGAGCTTCTGAGTCAGAGATACGCCGGGCTGACCGCTGGGTAAAACCGGGTGGAACACAGAGGTCTCCGAGAGCTCCACAAGCCGGCAGCCGCACAGCAGACAAGCGCCGCTGCGATCTGAGATGCGCAGAGCTGCTGCTCGGGAGAACCGCGTGGAAAGGTTTCCATCCCAGAGCTCCACAAGCCGGCAGCCCGCACAGCAGACAGAGTTGCGCCGAGCTGCGGGAAGGGAGAATCGGGTGGAAAACAGACGTCTCCCGAGAGCTCCACAAGCCTATAGTCGGAACCCAGCTCCACCTACATGATATATTTCAACCCAATTTATAAAGTGCAGCATTATGTTAAGTGCACTGGGTTTTACCCTATTAAATTTAAGGTTTAATTTAAATAAAAAAAATTAAAATTAAGTTTAATTTAAAAATTAAAATTAATTTAAATTTCATGGTTAAACAGTACATGTTAAAATTTAAGCTCAGCTCGGCGGTGACCTAAAATACATAAATATAATTTTACTTACCGAAAAAAATGAAGTGGAGACTCCTTGGACGCTCTGTTAGTGCAATTAATGACACAGCAAGTCATTTTGTCCAACAATTGCACAAAAAATATCCAAAAAAGAATACACAAACACAGAGACTCAAAATCCCGGAACAGTTTCCAAACCAGGCCGAGGCTCCACTGAGGCCTTTCCACGGAGCTAGCTCTGTGGTCACGTGGGTCTGAGGCGGCGGTCACGTGGGTCGGATGCTCTTTAATTATACAGAATTTTAGGCTTTTAATACACTTAAACAGAAGAGTGAGAAAAAAATTCACCCCCCTCAGAGTTGTCATGAGTGTAAACTAGATCATTTAAACAAAAAACATGTTTTGGTACCAGGCTGTAAACATGTTTATTTCTGCTGTGAAATTGGTATTTTTAACATGGGAGTCAATGAGGATTTGCTCGCTTCTGACACCAGCCCCCAGCGGATGAGGGTGGAACTGCAATTTTTATCACTTCCGCGTTGGCCTCAATTTTTCACCCGCATTGTGGGGGCTTGGGATATACACAACGAGAGCATCAAAAATGTAGAACCCCAAGACCCGGTCCAGCCACAGTCAGAAAATAATGCCAATTTTTGACCCAGTTGTCCTTTTCCGACAATCTACAGGATGTACCTGATAGCAGATTTATCTGATAAGATTCCATCTTTTAGTTCTTTTTAAAACACAGAAAGGTTTAAAAAGGTTTAAAAAGAACTAAAAGATGGAATTAGAATTTCAACACAGCAAGAACGCACCAAAGATGTTATCTGATAAGATTATCTTTAGGCTGTGTGTGGTGTACTAATATGGTTCTGATCTGCTCAGAAGAATGTTGGCTCATCTGGGCCCACCATTAAAGCATGCAGCTTGTTAAATGTGACTGAAGCAAGCTGTATGGAACCCAAACCCTCCTTCCTGCCGTGTTTGTTTACTCTAAAGTTAGGTTTCATCTTGGAGGTAGTGTGACATTTCATATGTGACTATGCAATGTCCGTGAGTGATATTAGCCTTTTTTAGAAGTCCCACTATGTTGGCAAATTAGCGTAATGCTACCACTACAATGTGTCTTATGAATGCATGTTACTTGATGCAACAGAGGAAGGTGTCATGATCTCGTGGGGAGTTGCTGCCAAGCCCTGGCAGGAAATTATATTAAAAATTAAACTTAACATGGGCAATAAGTTTTGCTTTTCTAAAGAGAATCAGCTGAGATGATGAACTGGAGCGATGCAGTGCTGCGGGAGCTTCTCTCCATTAGAGCTTGAGATCAGATCACCAGAGACTGCACAGGGGGTTGTGGAGGACTGACACCTTTAGGAGCAGTTTGTCAAAAAAAGTTAATGAGCGAGGCTTTGATTGCAATTAAAAAGCAAGTTATGGCCGAGATAAACGGAAGTCCGCAGCAACGCAGAGACCGCCCCCATACCCCCTTTACTGCCATTGCATAATGTTTTGTAAGAAGGACACAATTGCGCCACATTAAAGCCATGGTCTGACTACTACTAATAAGCAACCAAAGGCTCCCTGATCCCGGCTTGGCATTGCAGCAAACTGTTGCCTAAAAGAGGCTATTTATTCATGTTTGGTGTGTTGTCTTTACCATGTGAGTGGACACCACACACCTAGGAACAAAACCGGTATCCCTGAGATTTGTTTATTGCCACGTGTGTGGTCTGTCATGATTTGTCCAAAAGTCTGAACTCAGCTTTTATGTTTATATGTGTGTTTGTTAATTACTCGTTTTATTGCTTGTTTATTATTTGTTAGATTATACTTTCTCTCCCTATGTTGTCTCAGGAAAAATCCTAAACTGTAGTTTAGATTTAAGACAGTGTATGAAGTAAAATATGAACCACCAACTGATCCATGGGCATCATATCATGACCAGCGCATGAGTTCAGTAAAAAGGTCTGTTTTTGTTTTTCTCTGATACTATTTGACCACCTTTATACTGCAATAAAATACTCGTTATAATGGCAATAGCTTTATTATTTTAATACATCCTATGATCAGAAGGCTCTATCAGTCCAATTTTTAAAAGAAAATGTATGTTTTGAAAAGAAATTTGAAATAATATGATGAAGCTTTGATTAAAGAATACTGTCCAGTTATCAAACTACATGGAAGTGTAGCTTGGGTCATGATGTCTTCATTGTTGTTAACACTGACATGTTTTTGTGTTTGTGGCCCTTCTCTAAACTTCTGTTCATCTCCAAGATCTTGGAAAAGGTTGTGGCTAAACAACTCACAGCTGCTCTTGATGAACATAACATCTATGATAGTTTTCAGTCAGGTTTTCGTAGAGCTCATTCTACTGAAACAGCGCTTCTTAGTATCTCTAATGACCTTCTGACTCACAGTGATGCAGGGGACTGTTCTGTTCTGGTCCTGCTGGACCTGACTGCAGCTTTGACACTGTTGACCATCACCTGCTACTGGATAGGCTGAGAGACTGGGTAGGCCTATCAGGAACTGCGCTGGAGTGGTTCACCTCTTATCTGTCTACCATTTAAAATGGATCCTACCAGCAGGTCCCTGAGGTCCAGTGACCAAAGCCTACTGGTTGTGCAGTGCACCAGGCTAAAGACCAGGGGTAACAGATAATTTGCTGCTGTGGCCCCCAGACTCTGGAACTCTCCCCCCCTGCGCCTGAGATCAGTGGTCTCAGTGGTCTCCTTAAAAATCAGCTGAAAACTCACCTGTTCAAGCTGGCTTTTGTATGACCTTCTTCACCACCCTCTCCTTATTCTGCTCTTTCTAACAATTCCACCTTTCCCAGCATCTGCTGATTTCCCTCTTTCCTAGTACTTTCTCATTTGTCTTTGACAGTGGCATCTTAGATGTTGTCTACATTACCCCGTGTACATTGTTGATAGTTATCCTCAGCAGGTCCTGCAGCAATGGAGTAAAAATGCAATGGAGAACACAAACGTTACTGTGACCCGGAAATAATTCAGCTGGCTAAAAAGTCACAAAATATCAAACCAAGGTCTGTGGCCTTTAGCCTATTGTTTGGTTTGTTTGGTTGGTCTGCATCTTTTCATATTTTTGGTAATTGCGTTGATGGCAGTTTTTTTAGGGTAAATTGTAAATGGCCTGTATTTGTATAGAGCCTTCTTAGGGTTCTACACCCCACCAAGGTCATTTACACCCACATTTACCTGCTGGTGATGATGAGCTACAATGTAGTCACAGCTGCCCTGGGGCGCACTGATGGAAGCAAGACTGCTGAACACTGGCACCACTGGTCCCTCCGCCACCAGCAGGCAAGGTGGATTAAGTGTCTTGCCCAAGGACACAAAAGCAGCATTCTCTGTTGGGAGACGGGATCGAACTTAGAACCTCCTGATTGCTGTGCAACCCACTATATCTCCTGAACTACTGCTTTCCCACAATAAATAAATGAATAAATAAATAAATAAAGAAATTCTGGGATAATTGTGAAACTTTAGTCTGGCGGGAGGGGGTTGGGCTATTTAAAGGAGCCTTCAGAAGAGAATGGGCAGAGAGTCGCCTGGATCAGAATGAGTGACTCTAGTGCACATCTATGACAGGTTTTATGTTTGCTCATCAGGGATGGACAAAAGCAATAAATGCAATTGTACATTTGTAAATAGGCTATTTTGCTTCACCGATCTGGATGCTAGCACTGCTCAGCACAGTTTGGGGAGCAAGAAGAACAATAAAAACTCACCAACCAACAAGCTACTAGGCCCGTTCAATCGGGTCCCTGCCACACGCCATGACATGTCATATCTCCAACCTGCTATGGACACTGACTGTCCACATGCATTTATCTGAAATTATAAGAAATTGTGCTTCCATTACTGTGCAGTTAGGCTTAGTATTTGTCAGTTTGAAAAAAAAAATCAGTCATGGGAAATGGGCCAACTTTTGATGACATTAGAGACCAGACAGTACCAAGTTATTTTGGGGCAGAGCACACACTCTGTGATATTCTTACTTATATGGTCAATTACATATACGTGATGCAGAATCCCCAATCCCTTTTGATCCAGCAACAAGGGCTGGAACCATCATTTGAAATAAAGAAATTATTTCCCAAATAGATAAACCACTTTGTTTTTACTTGAGCAAGCTGAGCACAGAACAGCTGAAAATGACATACAAGGTTTACTGACTTCCATAGAGAAACTGGTGTGTTACATGTTACATCATATCAACTTTCATTCTTGTAAGTCTGTGACGTTCAAAAGATGCATCACTGCCCCTGGATAAACCTTGCATTTGCTGTGGTAATTGCAGGAAAACATTTTGACCTGCATTAAAAATAAAAATATAGATAGATAAAGAAAATCATAAAATTAAAGAAAGAGGCTAATTTAAAAAAACAAAAGCCAGTAAGTAATTTTGTTTACTTGAGCCTTAAATAAAACAATTGAGATAATAAAGAAACGTTAGGAAAATGAAACAAATTCTGTTATTTATGGAGAATGTGTATATTTGAAGATTTTGCAGAACAAATACAGAGTGCAAGTACTGGTGGGCACTGTGAAAAGTGACGCAAAATTTCCACAACACTAAACCAAAACATAAGCATAAAATGTGATTGGCATTTACTGTACATAGAAAAGCTACATTACCACATACTCCAGAGATTGTTTCGGTTCTGTCTTGGTAGAAATATAAAAAGCGTTACAACCTTTGCGTTGAAACCAAACAGAAATGAAATGTGCTTCTTATCTTAACATTGACTTTCCATATAAGGCATGAGTCTGTTTTGTTATAAACATCTTTTTTTGTTGGTCTTTTCACTCCTTTATCTAGAAAGCAATGTGCACTAGTCCACAATCTGGGGTTAGATGGAGCGTTATTTACAGCGCCATGTCTGCAGACCTTCTTCTCCCCGCATCTGACAAATTTCTTTCATCAGATCAAACGTAAACACAAATCAACATAGGCTAATCTCCTCCCTCTCAGTTTGCCAATGTTTTTCTTCCTCTATTGGCAAAGATACATGGCCAGAACATCGCTAACAGGCTTTTCTTTCAGATGTTAACATTAGATACAAGTTCCAGATGCCAGATAAAATGGAAGATGTGGATTAAAAAGAAATACAAAGACTTTACCAGCGTTCAGGATTATCAAATTTCAAAGTGTTAAACATAACATAACTCATTCACCATATCATATATAGTATCACCATCTGCTCACCCCCAGCCCGATAGTTCTGTATCCAAAGAAAATAGTTAGAAAAGAGAAAATCCTTTGACTAATTTTGGATCACCACTCAGGAGTGCCTCCTAATAAATCAAATCTCCATTATCTTTTGCAGGGCAGAGGTCCCAGGCATGTCTAAAGACCTTCTGCAGATTAAATCACAAAATCCCATCAATGTAAATCCTTTGGACCGTGACTGTTCATGAAGTTTACCAAAAGTGTGGCAGTAAGAGCAAAAGTATGCCTTCTGACCGGTACAACTTCTGAAAAGGAAACACCTGAAAACCAGCCAAACGTGACTAAAAGGAAGGCCCATACTTCCGTTGCAGATTTGTTAATCCAATCTTTTTGAGTTCAAGAGGCCATTAGAACAGGATTGTCCCTGAAACAACAACTCTGTGTGCCTAACCCTACTCTTGAACCTGGTCGGTGTGCTAAGCTAGCTAGCTGCACAGCTGTGCCAGGTCGGGCTCAGGAAAAGCATTAGGAAGCTTGGAGTTGAAGATCTGCAGTGAGTCCTTGATTCGTACCATCTCTCCAGCTGACAGCTTGAGGCGGTGGCGCAACAAACAAGAAAACAGGTCAAGTGGCTGTGGTGCTGGTGGAGACAGGCGGTTAATCCGGTCTCTCATCTCCAGCAGCATCAGAAAGGCAGCGTCCTGTGTGCCCTGCGTGTATGGATAGTCCAGCTGGAGAATTAGATCCTTGATGCCTTCAGGGTCAAAGTGCATGCTATAACCAAACACTTTGAGCGTGTTTATCTTCATGTAGCCCATGTTTGAAGTCTGGTCTTCCAAGTCCAATGGTTCATAGAAGAGAGTTTCATTCACTGTTGGATCATCTGTGACTATGCGGCTCCGTAGGTAGATGTGGACTGTTTCAAAGAAGGACTTCCACTTGCTGCCCATTGACAGTGTCCAGTTGTAACATTGTGCATTGGCAGTGGAGTCCAGTCTAGTTCTCTCCCAGTCAGGGAACTCAGGCTGATTCACAGGCATGAACCAGCTCTCTGAGTGGCTACCCCCAAAAGGATTCACATAAATCACAGGCACGGGTTCTAGAGTAGAATTCTTTGTCAAGCATATCTGAAAGGAAATACCCATCAGCATATGGATGAGGTTGGATTTATTTTTGTTGCTTTTAAGTGTCAGAAGCATCCTCTTCCTCCAGGCAGGGTTGAACCAGCTCCCCAAGCGGACGTCATTGCTGATGTAGATGGCATGGACCTCTATTCTGCTGTCCAGTCGCTTCAGTAAGTATTTCACCTAAGTAAAAAAGAAAACGCAAGCATTTAATCCTAATTCAACACTTAAAGGTGCATTGTGTAAGAATGACAATCTGTGGTCACATTTTGGTACTGCAGCCTATATTTCTTAACAAATACTGTATATCATGGCTGTTGCCAGTTTTGAATCTAGATTGTAGTTTTGAATCAGACTAAAATGACAAGCAACGATGAGCCATACACAATATGTTGTTAAGTAGATGCGTTGTCATTTCTGGATTTAGTACTCTTGGGTACTTTATGGAAAACACTTACCGTATTTTCCGCACCATAAGGCTCACCTGATTACAGCCAATCAGCGTCCTAGTTAAAGGTTTGGTCTGCACATAAGGCTCACTGGATCAAAACACGCACCCAGCAAAGCAAACGAGAGTCCCGATCGGCACAATTAAGGCAAATTGGGCAATTAGATCAAAGTCAAACGTTGCTCCACTCATTATCTATACTAAAAAATACATTTCTTGTTATTAAAGTAACATTTAGTCCCAATTTAATGCACGGGTGCTTTTAGCAGCAAGAATGAAGATTTAAACTCTGGTAACGGCATGACTGACTGAACGCAGCGCTAAGCCCCTCTTACCACTGCAGGACAGAGAAGCCGAGTCGGCCGGAGATAAAGCATTATGTGCGGCCACTGTGTGGCTGTAATGACCCGAGAGCCGAGCATAGAAGTATTACTCCACCTAGTAGTGCGTAATTGGTACAATAAGCCAAATGAAGGAGTTAGATCAAAATCAAACTTTATTCCTCTCATTCACAATAAAAATAACAAATTCGTAATTGTCAGTGTCATTTTTTGCACGGATGCTTTAAGCAGCAAGAATGAACAATCAGACGTATGGCTGTTTAACAAACAAAAGTCCCATTTTTACGCGCAGGCACGGCTAGAGCGAAGATGCGCATTCAGACAGCAGCAACACAACTGTTTGCTTATGATTAATATAAACATATTTAAAGTCCCAGTTTCACGCAGGGCGCTGTTGCCCATTCGGATCGTGGCAACACTGTACAGCTGTTAAACATAAACAACGTGTTGAAAGTCCTATCTTTATGCACAGGCGCTGTTGGCCTTTCAGACCGTAGCAACACAGCTCTGTACAGATTTGTCCATTGCAGCTATAAAAATTATTCAGCAGCAATACTGAAAAAAGCACTCAATTTTTTTTCAGCCCTCATCCATAAATCCCTCAAAATCCTCGTCCTCCTTGTCTGACATGAAGAACTGACCCAGCATTGAACCCAGCGCGCTCGGCTCCGATGTGCCGTCAAAGTCAATGTCACTGTCGTTGCTCGGCTCTCCCATTGTGATCCAGGCCTTGGTGAAAGCTCGAACAACAGTCTGGATAGAAACGTTGGCCCAGGCATCAGCAATCCACACACAGATGGTGGCATAAGTCGATCGGCCCTGCCTGCCCGTCTAGGTGAACGTGTGTTCGCCATCAGTCATCCAGCGCTCCCATGCTTTTCGCACTTTCGCTTTGAAGGACCGGTTCACCCCGATGTCCAGTGGCTGGAGTTCTTTGGTTAATCCACTCGGTATGATGGTGAGCTCCGTGTTCCTCCTCTTCAACTGGACTTTAACGGCGTCTGTGAGATGGGCCCGCATGGAGTGGCAGATCAGCATGGCTGGAGAAGTGTCCCGTCTTTTGGTGTACACCTCCCGCATCCACACCGCCATCATGTCCTCATCCATCCAGCTCTTTGGGTTGCCTTGATGATCATGCCAGTGGGAAACTTTTCTTTGGGTAAAGTTTTCGGCTTGAAGATGACCATCGGCGGCAGCTTCTGGCCATCAGCCTGGCAGGCGAGCACGACGGTGAAGCAGGACTTCTCGTGGCCGGTCATCCGCACAGACACCGTGCTGGTCCCCATTTTCTCCATGGTCCAGTTCACAGGGATGTCGAAGGTAAGCGGGACCTCGTCCATGTTGGTGATGTGCTGGGGCTGGATGTTTTGTCTGCCATCTTCTTAGTGCAATAGGAGCGGAACAACTCTAGCTTCTCAGCGTAGTCGGCGGTTAGCTGCTGCGAGACGGTAGTTCTAGTGCGGATAGAAAGCGCTCACCTCTGCAGGAAGCGAAAACACCAGGAAGGGCCTCCTATGAAGTCCGCAATGTCCATCTCTTGTGCTAATGATGCAGCTTTGAGATGAATGGAGACAGTGGAGATGCTTCTGCTCGCCGCTCGCTGCTCTGCGACCCACTGCTCAACTCGGTTTTCAAACAGCGGCCATCTTGCCTTGTTGCCTCTGAAGCTATGCTGTATTTTCTTCACCTGCAGCTGCTGGTCTTGCAGCTTTCTCCACTTGCGGACCATCGACTCGTTAATCTTGTATTCTCTCACTGCTGCTCTGTTTCCATGCTCAACGGTGTGAGCGATGACTTTGAGCTTGAATTCTGCCTCGTAAGCGTGTCTCTTCGCTGGTGACATGGCTGGTTACCGGTATAGCTGTGTGGAGCAGTGCCACACCTTTTATTTCGTGAGGGTGGGCAGTGCTACGGGCTGGCTCTTTGTTTTCCTGCAGACACAAGTGTGGCTGGCTTCACTTACGTCCTTAACACATGTATAAAAGGCGCACTGCTGGTTCAGGGGAAGATCAAAGGTTTTTAAAAGTGCCTTATGGTGTGGAAAATACGGTACTACACTTGTTACGGTAATATTTCTCCAGTATTAGAGAAAGTATTAGAAATGTTCTCCGCTGTTTGCTGGACACTGACCCAACAACAACGTTCCCCAGCAGGAGTCAAGATGGGTGAGTCCATGAATTTTAAGTGACAGTGTGACATAGTTCTGTCAGGATTCTCAAATCCTAGTGTTTCACCATCTAGTTTCTATCTAAAGCTAATGCAGGAGATAGGTGTAGGAGGTTATTTTCATGTGCAGCCTGCATGAAACACCTAAAGTAACTGACTAGAAGAAAAGATAATAAACAAAAAAAGTTTTTGCAGTAAACTACTCCATTAAAGAAAGTAAAACAACACGATTGACTCATTATTCACTTTACACATGCATTTCACTGTAATACTGAGTTGTTGGTAATTGAAAAGTAGCTTGAGATATTTTTAGAGCTGACTATTTGCATCTAATTCACCGTTAGCATTGCTAGCACAACATAAGCCATTAACCAGTGTAATGTTTGGCAATGGTCAGTTTTTAGGTACAGTTTGACCATTCAACATCGGGTCAAAATGGAGACACGAGACTGCATGCGTTCCCTTTAAATCGCCCTGCCTTCATCCCATCAGCTGGAGCTCAGAGCCTCTCTGCAGCTCTGAACACGTGATAATGAATTGTCAACAATAATGTTCTCTCCTCAAGGTCCAAGCTTCCCTTATCGTCTTACAGGATTCTTCATACCTCTAAATAAGGAACACTCGCAGCTTGGGTTAGTTTCTACATCAAAGAATGATTTCTTAAATTAAATATGAACTTTTAAAACTTATAAGTTAAATAATCATTAAATAAATGTTTGTTTATTGCTACTTATAATAATTATAGAATAATGAAATATTTTCATTAATCTGTGCTCAATGATTGAAGTTTGAAATGATTGTTATGTTATGATTGCATTGATTGCAATATGTTTCATCATGTTGATATGACGAGGTCATCACCATTTGCACTCACACAAGGACAAAGTAAAGTTAAGTTAAACGCGTGACACATAGATAGCCCTTTACCCCAGATAAGAGCATCCGGATCAAAGAAGCCGTGTTTCTGAGTTGTCTTGGTAATATTCCTTAACTTGTCAACCTCTGGTTGGCTACACAATCATAACATGAGAACATTAAAACTGGATCACTCTGGTGATTCATCAGTTCTTGAGAAAAGTTTCAGACCAGCCATCTGAAGCAAAACCTCTTTAACCCATCAAAGCTTTTGACACGTCGTCAAAATCGTTTTGCACCTGCGAAGCTGATATAGCGAACAGTTCCTGCAGAACAAGCAGATCTTGTTCAAACTCCTTAAGAGTCCGCCAGATGTGCGGTTCCATCTGTCTGTTGTAACCTGAAGACAACTCTAAGACCGGTCTAGTAGTGCCGCAGTTTCTTCTACGGACCTCGGTGCTTGGAAGTCCGAGGACTTCGACATTCCGAATCTATCACGAGGGTCTTCGAGTGGGTATGTAGACATGACAGATTGCATCTGATGTGTTTTTGAAAATAATCATCTTCATAGCTTAACGCAAACCAAATTCTTTTACATCCAGAACTCGGCTCTCCTAGACACGGAAGTTCTGATAACATCGCATTCCCACATAGGTTTCATACATCACATCTAGTTCCATCCACTCACAGTAAATGTTAGTTAACCTGTCATGTTTTAATTGTTTGTCAAATAAATTCTTACTTTTATAAAATTGACTCTTTTCTGAATCAAAACTAAGTGTGTACAATCCCTTAATAAACAAAGAATCCTGGAATCTTCTTATTAATACAGTAAAGACCAAGCAGGTTGATATTCTATATTTAGATAGAGTATCACAGCTTATTGGTCATAAGTAGAGGTAATATATATTGACCTCTTAAAGCACTCAAATTCTCAAACCCTACACCAGCTTCACCTGATGTTAGAGTAAAACAAAAAGATGCAGTGACTTCTTAGGGGTACACGAAATAACTTCTAGGTCACTCCTATTTACTGGCTTTGGTTCTTTAAAAATTCTGTAGATTTTTACCTGCTGGAGTGGAATTACAAATGCTGGCACTTCAGCATTAGCTTGGTGCAGAGTTGACAACCTTGCAGACTCACAGATTGTAAACAGTGACTACTACCCTCTTTTTAAAAGGAGAAATAATGACCCCCTCCCAAGCTGGCAGGAAGGAAATCTGTATTAATGTAACCTTGCTTCCAACATGATTGAGACATCAGACTGTTTTTGTGATTATTCGCAAATTATTCTCAATTATTCACTGAAGAATTCTTCCATATTGCTTCTTTAAGGTTAATTTAATTATGTAATATAATCAGAGATAGTGTGTCTTTTTTATACTGTGGTAAACATTTAAAGAGCTATGAGAACCTCAGCATCCGGCATGTCCAGATCAAAGTTAAGATAGTGGTCCAGGGATGAGGCAATGCTCGGGCGGCAGGAACCCAGGTGAAGGAGGTTTCCATGGTGACAGGCTCCACAGCGAGTGGCGTTGTCTGTGGCACAGAGGGAGCAGGAAGTGGGAGTGGTGCCCACAACACAGGGGATCACTCCTTGGCAGGTGGGCTGATCCACAGGGCAGCTACAGCTCTTCACCTCCTCAGAGAAGGAGCCCAGAACTCCGTGCTCATTGCAGTAAAGCAGAGACTGAGCTGTGCTGAGCCAAAACCCAACAGGCCTGCAAAGGAACAGGAAACACAAAATGACTTTAAATCTACAGCAAAGCTGTTTATACTCCTAATAACTACAGAGTATCACTATTGAAACGTGGATCATTTACTCTCTGAGACATCACTCTTCAACTTAATGTTTTTACTAACATGGATCTTAATCAATTAATCAATCTGCCTGTGACTCCAGTCCTCTAGAAACGGTGTTCATGCTTCACAGCAGGATATTCTCAGATGGAGATTCATTTTCACAACAAAGACATTCTTAGCGGATATGATGCAGCTATCATGATGAGAAAAATGCAGTGTTTAATGTGTAGTGCACACGTGTATCAACCAAATGCCCTAAACTTATCCACACTTTTAGTAGGGACTTCCCAGTTATATCTAAGCAAACTTTGAAACACTTGATACTTATTAAAACAATTTATGTTTTTATTTATTTAAATGGGCGAGCTGATGCTACCAAGACCAGACTGGACCAATTCAGGCCACCCCACCTACTGTTATAATTACCTTTTAGAGACAGAGGACTCCAAAGCACTTTACACTACAGCATACACAGCTAGAACATGGTGTACTGACTTTCTCCACAAAAATGATGTTTTGAAACAAAACAAGTGATTATCTAGCTCATTATCTAGTGAAGCAATTGGCGCATAAAAGTGATGGAATGCTAGGCTATACAGCAGGGAGTTGCTTCATCTCTTGTTTCAGAAGAAATGTTCTTACAACTTTCTGACCTATAGAGAGGTGAAGACCTTCTAAATGCATTGATTTCTTTGGTGTAAGAAAGGAATCTCATTTGGTCCAGCCTTTCAAATGCATCCTGATGTTGCCCCAATGCACTAGGTGACATATAGAGAGAGACTTGTTGATTTAAAAATAAAATTCCTAAACATTATATGGAAATGGAGGTGAGCCTGGTAAATATCAATATTTCCCCAGCTCAAAGCTACCGTTCTGATAGTAAATTGAATATTATGACACGGAAAGTGGCAAATTATTAATGCGTAGTGAGATAAGATGAGCGGTTTTACGCTTTTTATGACAACAAGAGTAAACACAGGTCAGATATGAATGACCTACATCGAATCATAAAATTGGACCTGAGACATTATGCATCTCTAAAATGTTTTGAACAAGAACTTTCATGAGGTCAAGCGGGTTATCCAGCAATCTGAACGTTGTGTCCTTGAGTAAGACACTTAAGTCACCTTGTCTGCTGGTGGTGGTCGAAGGGACTGGTGGCACCAGTGCTCGGCAGCCTCGCCTCCGTCAGTGTGCTCATATGGTAGCTGTGGCTACTTTGTAGCTCATCGCCACCACAGTGTGAATGTGTGAGTGCATGGGTGAATGACTGATTGTGTTGTAACGCGCCTTGGGGTTCTAGGGACTCCAGAAGGTGCTGTATCAGATACAGGGCATTTAACAATTTACCATTAGCAGCTCCACCACACAGCTAAACTCCTTCAGGCCTGAGTTATTTGTGGAGATAAAACATCAAAGCTGCAAAAAAAAGGTAAAAAATCAGTCAGCGGTAGAGTCATGATGCTGTTATCCAATCAGAGGCAGGATGTCCAAATTTTAGGAAATAAGACTAAATCTTGTTGTCTCAGGCTCAACTATGATGTGGCTCACTTTTACTTCCTGAAAATGGTGCACCAGAGCTTTGTTTCCTTAGAGTATAGAGTATGACTTACAAGGCATTTATTCCTACTGAGACAACTGCAAATGTATTGAATAAATGAGTGTTCCATACCTTTAAAACAAGTTTTTCATTGAAATCAACCCAAAAAATAGATTTTGAACATTATTAACGTCAAATGGGCAACATCAGTCCTCCTTTCTCCAAACATTGTAGCAGAGGCTGGCTTTGGCTTACCTTTCCCGTGGCAGACTGATGCGAGGCTGTTTGGGACAGCGTTTGCTGAGGGTGAACAGCTTCCTGACAATCTTTTGGGCTTTCCCCAACACCAGAGCAGTGCTAGCCTCCAGCTGAGTGTAGCGCTTTTGAAGGGACAGATCAGTAGACCAGAACTTAGCAATCGTGGACACATTCAAAAACCGGTCGGTGGGCAAACGCTTCAGGAAGGCTTTGAATTCATCTGCGGAGATAAAAACATGAAAACATGGTGGGTAGGGGGTTTGGGACAAGAAATTGAGATCAGCCTCATTGTTTGCCAACACGGTCTCATACAGAAACTGAGAAATGCCAGTCAGATGCAGATTCATTTATGGTGTAAAAATATCTTAAATCTCAAACAAATTAAACATCACATCACAAGCAGAGTGGTCCCATTTAAGGTTTATGAGACATATTTTTATAAAAAAATGTCTCTTCTGTCACAGATGTTTTATTTTAATGTCAGAACACAGTCATGCCAATTACTTCCAACAGATTATGTTGTCACAGCAGGTGTTTATCAATAAACAAAAGACAAAATTTATGCAAATGCATGGATGAATATGGCTGTTTCGTGCAAGATTTTTATGATAATGTTCTACATATTTAACAAGTGTTACACTTTGATGAAGTCAAACTGTTCTTATTTTCAGATAAATGTTTAAAATACCAATAGCACTCATCTGCTACTACGTTTTACATCCCCAGAAAATGCCATCGATTTGTTATGATAAAACAGTTGTGGGGATGATCACCTGCCACCACCCAGTTATAAAATAACTAATGCTAAAGCATTTATACGCTCTTCTTAAAGTAAATTCTGTAGTCTTTTTCTATGTTATCATACTATCGCTATGCCGATGACGTTCTTTTATATTACAACAATTGAAACTTTCAGAATGGATTAAACGCAAAGCTGTATTAAACAGCTTTGCAGCTGTGAACAGTTGGATGGCCGAACATTTCCTACACCTTACTGAAGATAAAACAGAAATTCTTTTTGTGTTACTGTTAAACATAGAAATGAAATATTAGAAGTGCTCGGGCCTCTAGCATCTTAGGTTAAGCTGACTGTTAGGAATCTTAAAGTACACTTTCATGCTGATTTTAATTTAGATTATCATGTACAGTCTCTGGCTCCCTCTGCTACTAAATTATTCAATAATATCACTCAAATGGAATGAAATGGAAGTTGGGATAAATGGTTTTGTGTCTTCTTGTTTGGACTATTGCAACTCTCTGTATACCGCCCTCACTGCAGCATCTAAAAATGGTGCGTCTACAAATAGTGCAGAATTCTGTGGCCAGACGGTTGACTAGGACACCTAAGTATTCTTAAATCACTCTGATAATACCATATGATAATATCCTTGAGACGTGGCAGCCGTGTTTACTTCAGCTCTTACTTTTTGTGCTCTAATTCCTCTTAAAACCCGTTTTTTCCTGTCACTGATCGCTGGATTTTGTGATTTTGTTGGAACTTTGTTGGACCTTTGTTTATTTTTTGGATTCTTTTGTTGGACCTTTGTTAATTTTTTTGATTCTTTGACTTCTTGGACCTTTATTTGGAATACAAATCTTTCGGATCGGACAGAGGCAGCTCAGCTAAAGTGTGAGCAACCTTGAAGCTATCTTGAATGTCTGTCCTCCCGCTCTTTCTGCCCCACAATGATGCCTTTATGCATTCTAAAGCAAATGAAAAAATTGAAAACCTTAAAGAGGATATACGACGACTCTCTCCTGAACTGCAAAAGAAGGATATGGTGCTGGATAGTTTTAGATCTCGTTTTCCTGTACTGTCCGAGACCATTGCCAGTCAATTTGAAGATAAAACATCCATGCAAAACTCTCTACTGCAATCTGTGCAAAACTCTCTACTCCAAGACACCATTGCTTGGGATCTCTCTGCACCACGAAATCCGACTTCCAGCTCTACTCCTGACCAATTTTCATCTTGGTCAGAGGTTGTGGTACGTGGCCGTAGGAGAGCCCCTGTGGTTGATCCCAACCCCCCACCTGACCTCAGTCTTTCAAACCACTTCTTTTCACTTGCTGAGGAACAACCAGCTGATTCTTCTAGGCCTCCTCTTCCCTCCCAACAATCAGATCCCATCCAGCAGGAGCCTGTAGTCCGGAAGAAGCAACCTCAGCAGTCTCTTCCCCCCAGACCTCAACCTCTGATGCCCGACACAAAATACTAAAGGATGCTGTGTGTCGACACTCTGCTGGACCTCCTGCCCTGGCTAAGGAGGTGAGCTCCTCCATGGCAAACCCTCCACCTCAAACCCCCCAGTTCCACGACACCACAGGAACCCAAACCCAGAATCCTCCACTACTCCACGGGAACACAAATCAGGAGCCCTCTACACCTCGTCCACTGTTTTCACCTACCACTTTACTGAAAGGGGATTCAATAATCAGGACTGTCTGCTTTTTCAACGTCATGACGAGTTGTTTTCCATCAGCCACCATACCTGCTCTCCTGGATAAACTTCCTGGTCTGCTGTGCTCCATCCCAGCTTCAGTTAAAAGAGCGATCATTCATGTGGGATCAAACGATGTTACACACCGGGAGTCTGTCATCACACAACAGCATTTTAACCATCTCTTTGACATTCTGAAGAGCAGTGGAATGTCTGATTTCATCTCCAGCCCGATCCCCACAGTTTCTCATGGATATGGACGTTTTAGCCGTCTGCTCTCTCTCCACTCCTGGCTTCAGTCTCCTTGCAGATCCCACAGTTTTGGTTTCATTGATAATTTTAACCTCTTTTGGAACCGTTTCTCCTTTTTCAGGCGAGATGGCATTCACACTAACCGACATGGCTCAAGCATGCGAACCGCTAACATCCGGTATGCTGTGCAGTCCCATAGATATATATCTATGGTGGATTCCCTTCCACAGACTTGACAGTTTACATCCCAGAGATCTTCACCTTCTTCGGCCTCTGCTCAAACCTCCACTTCAAATAACATCACTCCCTACAGTCCTCCCATAATGCAACAGTCTTCTGTGTGTCTTCCAAAGGTCACAATTCCCAAAATGTTGTCTTCTGCTGACAAACGTAAAAGTTTCCCTATTCCAGTTCATTTATCAACCAGCAAAGACATAAACTGTATTCGTGGCCGGAGAACCCAGAACACCAGATGTTTACAAGCCATCCCTCTCCAGCAGGTTAAGAAGACTAATGTTCTCCAGGATTCAGTTCAATGTGCCCTGTTAAATGCCCGCTCCATCTCAAACAAATCCTTTATTTTAAATGAGCTGTACACCAGAGAAAAGTTGGACTATTTATTTCTTACGGAGACATGGCAGCAAGATGGCTATTTTGTACATTATAATGAAATATGTCCACCAAACTGCTCTGTGTTTACCACATCACGCCCAACACGTCGTTGTGGAGGTCTTGCTGTGGTCTTTAAGGACAAACACGTCTGTAATCTGGTGAAAAATGGTCCTTTTACAACTTTTGAATGTCAGGTCATCAAAGCAGGTTTACAAAATGTATTTCACTGTATTTTAATGACCTCCCGGTCCAGCTGGTCCTTTTCTCTCTGAATTTGGAGAATTTCTATCATCAGTGATCAAACTAGAAAAAGTTTTAATCCTTGGTGATTTTAACTTACACATTAACGATCCTAAATGTAGCACAGCAGTGGAGTTCATGTCTATTATGGAGTCTTTTAATTTAGAGCAGCACGTTTCAGGCCCCACACACAAAATGGGTCACACTCTAAATCTTGTTTTCTCTTTAGGACTAAAAATCAATCATTTACATGTTGAAGAGGTTCTTGTGAGTGACCACAGCTGCATTTTCTTTAATGTCCAATCAAATGTTGAATCTGTCCCTCACAACCTAAAATCAAAGAGTCGTATCATTAATCAGTCAGCGGTGGATGGATTTACTAGATTATTTGACAGCAGCTCAGTTCAGGGTGATTATCCAAGCTTGTTCATCCAGTCATTGGATAAACAATGCTGCAGTATCTTCAATAAAGTAGCACCTGTTAAGCAGATAACTGTTTGTAGCAAGAGAAAAAGTCCCTGGATTAATCAAAACGTTTACAGTCTCAGAAGGACATGGCAGAGCCGAGAGACGTTGGAAGTCAACTAGATTAGAAAGTCACAGGCTGCATTTTAAAGAACTGATAACATCTCTGAATGAGATGGTGAAAACTTCCAGGGCCACTTACTTTGCTCAGCTAATTGCTGTAAACAAAAATAACTCTAAAGTCCAGTTTGGCACCACAAACCAGATTGTTTCACCTCACGTCGCTCTTATGCCAGTTTACTCAAGGTCTGACTGTAACATCTTTCTAGCACTCTTTGACGATAAAATCAGAAATATCAGGGCAAGTTTTTCACCCCATCTACTTCCCAGCCCCCTCCCTCTCAATCATGGTCTGTCTTTACTCCTGTAGATTTCCAGGACACTTGCCTCATTCAGAAACACATGAAACCAACCTCATGCCCTGCTGATTTAATTCCTACTACCTTGTTAATCAGGATGTTTGACCAAATTGCCCCATGCACTGTGGATTTTATTAATTTATCTCTACAATCTGCCTCTGTACCATCTGTTTTCAAACATGCAGTAATTTAACCTATCCTTAAAATACCAAGTTTGGACTCATGTCAGCCTAAAAATTACAGACCCATTTCTAAATTACCCTTTATGTCTAAAATATTGGAAAAGGTTGTGGCAGATCAACTGATTACTGTTCTGGAACTACACAACAGTTTAGACAAATTCCAGTCTGGTTTTTGTAAAAGGCATTCAACAGAAACAGCTTTGCTTAAAGTTTCCAGTGACATCACGGTGGCTGCAGACAACAGGGAATTCACAGTGTTAGTATTGTTGGATCTTTCTGCAGCTTTTGACCCTGTTGATCACATCACCTTAATTTACAGACTTGGTGACTCGGTGGAGATCTCTGGAACTGTTCTAGACTGGTTTAGAGTGTACCTTTCTAACAGAAGTTACAGTGTCTGTATAAAAACCAAATCATGTCAGATTCTACTGATCTGTTCTCTGGGGTACCCCAAAGCTCTGTTTTGGGTCCACTGTTGTTTCAGCTGTACATACACCCTCTTGGACAGATACTTGATTCTTTTCATAATGTCTCTTATCACCTATGTGCAAATGCTATTCAGCTGTACTGCTCCTTTAAGGATTCTGAGTTCTATAAACTGTCTGAATT